ACGTGATAAAGGAGGACCATCAGCCTAACGATGGATCGTTAGTGCTCTGATGGCCGCTTGTTATTCACAGAGGGCTGAGTGACATAACAGCACTGGGGGACAGTTGAACACGGAGGCCTTCGCCGCTGTTTAACCTCCTAAGACCCGAACTCTTGCATATGTGGATGCCAGGTCCTAGGAGGTTAATGAGACCCTGCATCCACGTTACATTTTGGCTTTGTTGTACCTTGTACTTCACTCTGTTCAATGGAGTTTTACACTTTGTTAAGCCATGTTCACGTTATTGTGTTATGCTGTAAAATAAGCCCATCGTCCCCATCTGAGGACTTTTTTTTTTTTAACAAAAGTATGTCATAACCATGTAACAAAATACAACTTCCTCTTTGAAGAGGAAGTTTTATTTATACACAAATCAGGTCCATCTAATCACAAACATCTCAGGAGGTTAATGGTTGTTAGGCTGATGGTCCTCCTTGATCATGTAAACAGCTAGTTTTGGATGTCTCAACAAACTGGTTGCTCCACTATGAGAAGGTGCTATTTATAAGAGTGAGTTTATTGCAGCTCCTCAAACTGATGAAGTCTTCTGGATTAAAGATGAAACGTTTCAACAATTTTTTTTAATTTTTTTTTATGAATCCATCCAGAGGACTTGACTTAACTTTGTTAGACTAAAGGGGGGGGAATTAAGCTTTCACTTGGATGTGTTGGGCATGTTTAAAAAATATTCTAAAGCTCAGGGTTTATTCCCTTTAAAACAAAACAAACAATTAGTGAACCACCCTGTCTTTAAACATTTGTTTTTGTTGTTTACAGCTCCTAAATCACAAGAACTTGTTCTATCAGATTGTCAAATATTCTTCTTGGTGAAGTCAAATCGATTTGATTAATTAATCAACCGCAGCTGTTTTGTGTTGCGTTCATACTGGTCCCCAGTTGCAGAGCCACCAGCTGAGGTTTTTCCATATGTTCTGGTGTCTACAGCATGATGTTTGGATCTGGATGTTTGGATCTGGTTCGGTCACCCAGTCGTGGTACTCACATGAGGTCGGGTCTGTGTCTGTGGATGAGCGCGCAGAACGCCAGGCCGTCCCTGAAGGACGTGGTCATGTTGGTCACGGACACGTCCCGGTATCCGTCACACTGGACCCGGCACCACTGCTGCAGAGCCTTCACAGCCGCCATCCCGGAGCTCCGAACCGAGCTCACAGCCTCCCAACTCCTCCACGGACCGACAACGAACTCCGGAAACTTTTTTTTGTTTTGTTTTTTTTCACAGCAGCTCGGACACGCTGGATCCACGAAAGACAGGAAACCCCAGTTCGGTGAGTTTCAGGGAATCACCTATATTGGTCCGACTGTGGAAAGAAACTGGACGTGACACCTGACGAGATGTGGGTGGAGTTTTGTCGTCTTCTTCAGCTCTTCCTGTCCGTCATCAAAATCCACGCTGCTGAAACTCCAGGGCCGTAGATAGGATTCTACGGGCCAGTTTCAAGAGGCACCAGGGGCAGGGACCACCCCTAGAAAGACCTTTTTTAATGGGTTTGTCTCGCTGTTACGATGGAGCTTTAAAACCACGGCACTAGAAAAAAAAATAGAAGTCATTGAATTATGAGAATAAAGTTTATTTAAGTCTTATTATTATGAGAATAAAGTCGTAAGAGACTTTTTTTTTTTTGTGGCTCTCGTTTATTTATTTTTTTCCACCAGTCAGATCCACGACACGACCTGTCAATCAATCCAGTAGGTAAATCTGGTCCTCTGGACATTAAAAAAACAAAGCAAAGCAAAACGACAACAAAAAAATATATAGAAACGTTTCATCTTTCATCCAAAAGACTTCCTCAGTCTGAGGTGCTGTATCCAGTTCAGTCTTATAAATAGCACCTTTTCAGAGTGGATCAACCAGTTTTGCTGCTGACAACCAAAACCAGCTGCTCACATGACCAAGAAGGACCATCAGCCTAACAATGGATCATTAGCACACTGATGGCTGTTTACTGTTCACAGAGGGCTGAGTGATACTAGCAATCACAGCATTGTAAGAGGGGGACAGTTGAACCCGGAGGCCTCCACCCCTGTTTAACGATGGACGATTTCTTTTCACAAAGATGGCCTCCTTTACTCCTCTCTCAAACCATCGTTCCTCGCTATCCAGGATGTGAACATCTTCATCCCTGAAAGAGTGACCGCTGGCCTGGAGATGAGTGTAGACCGCAGAGTCCTGGCCTGATGATGTTGATCTTCTGTGCTGGGCCATCCTTTTGGCCAGTGGCTGTTTAGTTTCCCCGATGTAAGACTGACCACAGCCCTCCTGACACTGAACAGCATACACAACATTGCTCTGTTTGTGCCGGGGGACTGGATCTTTGGGATGAACCAGTCTTTGCCGTAATGTATTTTGGGGTTTAAAAGCCACTGGGACGTTATGTTTAGAAAATAAACGTCTCAGTTTCTCTGATACTCCCTCAACATATGGAATGACCACTGGTCTGGGTCTGGGTTCCTCTTTTTCACCTGTTGGCTGACTGGAGTCCTGTTTGGGTTTCTTCTCTGCTTTCAGGAAGGCCCAGTTAGGATATCCACATTGCTCTAGAGCCTGTTTTGTGTATGATTTCTCCTTCTGCCTGGCTCCTGAGCTAGTGGGGACGCTGTCTGCTCTGTGATACAGAGTCCTGATGACTCCTAACTTGTGCTCCAAAGGGTGATGGGAGTCAAACTGCAAATACTGGTCTGTGTGGGTGGGTTTGTGGTACACCTCGGTTTGCAAATGTCCTCTATCAGAGACTGAGACCTCACAGTCCTTGTTGACGTGTTTCAAATCAGTCTGCTGTTGAGTTCCCAGCATGGCTTTACATACAACATGGACGGCCATCATCATAAAACAATTGATCATCAGTGCATAACAATCAAATGTTCTAGGCAAAATGGCCGCTTGCTACTCACCGAACCAAGGACACTAATGAGCGATTGTTTTAGACTGTCCTCCGTGTTGCATGTGTAAAGTCATGCTGCCTGAAAACTCAACAGCAGACTGGTTTGAAACATGTCAACAAGGTGCTACTTAATATGACTGATCCTGTTGGCAGGCTTAAGACTGATGAAGTCCTTTGGATGAAAGATTAAATGTTTTCTTCCGAAAAGGAAACTGTCCAGATGACATGATTTAACTTTTTTGTGATTGTCAGTCTTTCCATTGGGTGATTCCACCCACTTACAGCACGGTTCTTTGGGCCTACTCCCAACAACCGGGGTTCCAGGGAGCGGAGTGGAGCTGAAGTGCTGATGTCAGCAGACTGCAGGTCAATAAGCGGTTCTCCTTCACAAGCGTCAAACCACCATTTTTAAACCCCCTGTTTCAGTTCAAACAGTAAGTCCTTTTCAATCGCCATGGACGCTAACATTGAATGAAAAATGTGCTCTGTCGTGTATCTAGCATTAATTTTAAATTGCTTTAGGGCTCAACAGAAGCAGCCATTGTGGGTTTAAAAAAAAAAACAGCTATTAAATCTACATAAATGTAGTTTAGCTCGTGCAGGTCACGACAGATGCAGTTTTCTAGCGTCGACCAGTATGATCTCTGATCGTCCAATCAAAGTATGTGAAATTTCTGATGTCAAATGCCTGCTAGAGGGCTCCAGTGTCACCAACCCCAAAACTGATTGGTTAAAGCAACAATTTGATTGACATTTATTTTAAGCTACAGCTGTCTGCACTGCTGATTCTGAAGGCCTCAAGGCAGATTTCTTTGACCCTATAGCAATGATGGTCGAAATACGATCGGATAAACGCTCTATATAAACGTATGCCACAGGAAGCTGCGCAACCAAGAGAAAAACTATGAAATGAAAACGACAGACAATTCTGAATAACTACATATTAATAGAAAAAATAAATTAAAATGTAAGTTCATGATTCTGATAGTGTTTAGGCCAGCAGAGAAGGCCCACAGCTGTAATATATTGATTTAAAACAGCAACATGTAATCCAACACTGGTACTTTTTTTGATTTATTTTTTTAATTCAACCGTTATTGATGCAGGTTAGTCTCACTGAGTCACGAGGACTCATTTCCTGTTTTAGACACACAACATATAGAGTACAGACAACAATATACAACAATAAAAAGCACTTTAAAGTAAAAAGTAGTGTTCTAAAAACAATAAATCAAGAGGATATGAGGAGGTGTTTTTGTAAAGGTATTTTTGGAACCAAAGTCTGTGCAGTGGGGCTTAAATTCCCACCCATTCGTCTCAAACACATAGTGTTAGAAATAACTAGTTCCAGTACAGCTAAACATGTTAGAAAATTTAATATGCAAACTAAACTAATGCACAAGATGTCCCGTTTGGTTACATGGAGGGGGAAGGACCTAATACTTGTTTCTGAAATCAGCCGACGGGGAAGCAGGTCCTGCTCTGACTCCAACTTCCAGGTTCTGCTCAGAGGTTTACGAAGAACAGTCTATTATTGTTATTGATTTAATATGAGGATGCTTTGGATTCCTTGGACCAGAAACTAAATGAACTCACAGCTGCTGTGGGCCTGTTTGTGATTTATTTGCAATCAAATCAAGCAGCAGTTTCCTGTCATAACTGGTACTCTTAGGATGAGAGGGAGCTCAACATTCAACTCCAGCATCTCGTATACCTCCAATGGCTGACACCTTGTTAGACGAGGTCACATGAAAATGCTTTATATTTCTTACTAACAGCAGTTAACTTGGTTTTTTTTTTATATGTGAAGATGCTAACAAAACATATTGAGAAATAAAAATAATAGCAGAAAGAGAATCACTTGTTCTTGGATACGTTCAAGCTAGCATTGGTATTTCACAGCACAGTTAGCTGCGTAGGGGTGTCGAACTCGGTTAGCAAAAGGAGCCAGAATTTAAAAACTTTGTCCGAGGCACGGGCCACTTTCAGCTCAAGTCAGATACCTGAAATATTTTCTTGGTTGCAGGTTCATGAACAAGAGTTTGATCGGTCTCCGTCGCTATTTCCACATCAGGATCAATAATGATAGAATGATCCAACCGTCTGGCTTCAAAGTTAGCCAGCTGGGAAGAGAAGCCTACACTAAATGATGTATTTATCAGTTCTTTTAAAGAAAAACTAGGAAAATATACAATATTTTACATTTAAATTATCATCTTGGTGGACCAGATTTGTCCCGCGGCTCTTGAATTTGACATGTGAAAAGTCCCATGAGCCTTTGCTTCAAAGTAAGGCTTGTGAGATACGACTCATTTATTGATTCTTTTTTCCTATTTCTCAGTCAGTTATGCAGATAAGTCATATGGAGTGTGTTATAATGTTTTAATATTAGTGCTGCCAAGAATATGGCAATAAATTGCAATTATAATAACTTTTTATCAGGCAGTGAGTGACATTCAGTCAGTGTTAGATGCTTAGTCAAGCCAATCATTTGTGAGATCAATATTACAGTACTATGTTGCAGGTTTTGACCACAGTTTTGTGAACGTGCCCTGCATGTGGCTGGATCCCCTGAGGTAAGACCATGATCCTGCACTCTACAGAGCCTTTCTATACCACCTAAAACAAAATCTATTGTTTCATCTGTACACGTGTGTACTGAATACATGACGTCCACTGTGGCTTTTGTTTAACTACTTTAGAAGCACTAAAATAAAGTGTGAATGGGGTGTGGTTCAGTTAGCCAGCTTGTCCAGTCCTGTTCAGCTAGGTGTGCTGAAGAACGGGGGTGGTTTCTGCTCACAGTCACCTGACACGTGCTCAGAAAGACAGCAGGGCTGATAACACGGAGGAGACCGCTGTGTTTTGATCATTCGAACATGTAAATACCTGCAGATAGCACTGTGTTACTCGGTTACGTCATCTCTTGTTTCTATGTGGCCCTCTTTTATCAGCATTAAAAGCCAAGCAGTGGATTTTAATACATGAGGTGTTATTGTAGTTGCTTGGTTGAGAAACGTAACAAACATCTTTCATAAGGACGTTGCCTCTGATCCAACCATCTACAGCGTTGAAGGTTTCTGAGACAGTTTAGCAATCATTGACTTTTTTTTATATTATATCATTTCAACAGAAACCACTGAAAATCATTTTTGTGGCTTTCCAACTACAATTAATTCAATTCAATTCAAAATTAAAAAATACTTTATTAATCCCAAAGGGAAAATATTTGTTGTTGCAACTCGTTATCCTGATTTCATTAAGAGATGTTATAGATGCTGATGGCTGTAGACAGGAAGGATCTCTTGTAAAGGTCCATCCCACAGTGGATCCTGAGAAACTGGCTGCAGATGCCGTCTAATCTGTCCACCCAGACTCAGCTGGCCTCTCGGTTCCCCTCGGGCTGTAGGACCACCCGAATGTTGGGCAGAACTCCTCCCAGAGCGATGAACACTCCTCCCAGCAGTTTGCTGAGCTCCTCGTCACTGCGAGCCAACTGTACGTGC